TGCCAGCCAATGTCCAGGCAGGCGCTGGATCAGCATTGGTGCCTTCCCATCCGGGTAGCGAGGGAGGTGTCCCAGGCGGGGCTATAAATGCCGTGGCCTGACGCCGGCTCGCCTCCCTCCCTGCCCGTCCCGTCCTCGGCTGTTTCGTTTGAGCTGTGGGTGAGTTGTTTTTTGTTTCCTACGATGCTCCGTTCCCCCTCACCCCGCTGGCCTTCCAGATGCCCTCCAGATGTTGCCGATGGTGCCGCAGCCCCATCCTGCAGCGAAATCCCCCTGCGCAGGTTTCCCCTGGGGCTGAGCATGAGGCTGTTGCTGCAGCAAGCCGAGATCAGAGATCATTTTGCCTCTGACGGCTGGAAAAACTCATGTGCCCCTTTCCTGCCTGCCTCCCCCCCGCAATTCTCTCCTTTTTTGGCTTTTTTGGAGGTTGCTCAGCACCGGTCCCAGACGGCAACGCCCAGCCTAGCTGCTAGCAGGAGGGTGGAATTAGGGAGGAAACGGTGATGCATCCCGGTCCATGCCCAGGAGCGGGGCACCGGAGCAGCCTGTGCGGTCTGGGGGGCTAGGGGAGACCGTCGACCCCCCTGCCATGGGGTTGTCTGGGGACACCGAACTCTGGTCTCACCCGGTTGTGCTGTTGGTGCCTCCAGGCTCGCTGACATCCCCATGGCGTGTCCCCTGGAGCAGGCGCTGGCGGTGATAGTGTCCACCTTCCACAAGTACTCAGGGAAGGAGGGGGACAAGTACAAGCTCAGCAAGCAGGAGCTCAAGGAGATGCTCATGAAGGAGCTGCCCAGCTTCAGCGTAAGTGTGGGGCAGGGGATGTCACATCCCATGGGCGATGCTGGGACGCGGGGACGTGCGCCCTTGATGCAAACCCCCATTTTAACTCCCCTTTTGCCTTGGTGCAGAGACAAACCAGCGAGGCCAGCATACAGCAGCTCATGTGCCACCTGGACAGCAATAGTGACAGCGAGGTGGATTTCCAAGAGTACGTGACCTTCCTGGCCTGCATGGCCATGATGTGCAACGACTTCTTCCAGGACTGTCCTGACAAGATGCCGCACAAGAAGTGAGCACGGGCTGCGTTGCTGCCCCCGTGACCCTCCCACTGTCTTCCTGATGCTCTTTCAATAAAGGTTGCTTTAAATAAAGTCCTCTGTGTGCTTTGCAATGGGGGTTTCTTGCCCCAGGGACCCCGTTTTTGGTACCAGATAACGAGAAAGGGCGCTTCCCAGCTGGAGTTTGCTCTGCTGCAGCATGGGCACCATGTTCCTGTGAGCCCTCGTAAACCACCCACGGAACTGATCCCCGCCGCACGGAACTCACCCCCGCCGGCCACGTTAGCGTGAGTCAGCGACGGGCTCTGCCCGGCAGCACCCTGCCCTGCAGCCCCGGTAACTTCTCCGCAGGCGTGCAAGGCAAGGCAGGCGATTCTGCAGGGATTAATGTCTCCGACCGGCGCCGTGATAACAGCGATGGTTGAACAATTTTTTTTTTTTTAGCTATAATTACTAAGCTCACACTGGGTCAGCATCTGTCCTTGCATCTGCTGCTCTACAGGGCAGGACGTGCCACCTTGGGAAGTCACCTGGGACCCTCGTCACCCCCACCCCGAGCGAACCCTCGCGGT